AGGTATAACTTTTAAAGGTCATGATCGATCACGATAAATTGGAATTGATAACGAAATTATAATTTTTAAAGATCAAGTTATAACTCATAAATGAGAAGTTACAACAGTCCAGAGAAAAATTATAATCGATCATATGTATTTATAATCGATCATGATATTTTTGATCGATCATTGACTTCACTTTTTTTAATTGTAACTTTACTATAAAAATAATAAGTGGAGGTACAGTACCGAAAGCGATAACTTAGACTTTTCCGTTATTGTTGAGATTATCAAGTTTAAATTTTAAGTATGTCTAACATTACTCTAAAAATAATAAGTAGAGGTACGGTACCGAAAACAATAATGTAGACTTTTCCGTTATTGTCTTGTTCAATTTATAACGGGTCTTGTTTTGTTGTTCTCTTTTTATCAAATTTGACGAAGTCTTCTCATTTGCTTAGTCCTACTGGGCCAAGGTTTACTGGAAAATTGATTAACCAAATAGTCTTTAAGATGGTGATGCCAGAGCAATGAAAAAATTACTAGGAGTTGACACATGCAACATTGGACATCAATCTTATCATTCTGACTGGGTCTTTTACAAACCAAAACACGCGTTTTCAAGGTTAGTGATGGACTTAAATAGCAGACAGGTGCCAATTCTCTAGACCAAGTCAAGATAATTTACTTGGAGTCCATTTTCAAAGTGCTATGTATTTTGAACTTCATTCTTTTTTTTTTATCAGAGTTTCTAACTTGTTTTTGGAACTATTGTTGTTTCTATAAAAGTGAGTTTAGCCAAGCTTTTGAATGTAGACCACGATAAATAAGTTAAAAAAACACTCTATAGGTAGAATCATATACGAAAAAATTGATAAAGTTGAAAAAAAAATTCATATACTTGTATCAAAACTTGTGAATCATTTTGATTTATTTTTTAAAATTTTTCTCAATGGCAGATCGCTTACTGTGTATTAGTGGAGTGGAGGATTCAATTATACATAGTCAATTCCACTAATTAGATTCATGGTAGATATAACATATCATTGAGAGAAATTGTCAAAAAGTATATTTGAGTAAATTTGGATCTAAGAATTACCTTCTAAGCAGAAAGATGTTCATTAGCCACACACAGCTGAAAACAACACATAAACTTGTGGTGCCTCAGAGTTCTCATCCAACTCTGGGCAAGGTTGAGTGTATAATTCAACAGAAGTCAACCTACATTGTCCTTGGAAAGAAACTCAATACCTTGAAAGAAGAGGTAGACTATTTGAATAGTGGCTGCTTCTGGTCTTTCCAGGAATGTGCACTAAATAGAAATTGAAGGATCGACAATGGCTTCTTCGGCCGTTTGGACCATACCCTGCTACGGATTAGCATTACCCCACAAAATTAAGGAAGCCACTGTCCACCAAGAGATAGGAGCCATTTGAACAATGAAATTATTTGGAGATGGTTTTTTTAGGCGAAAAGTTGCACTTTGAAAAGTAAAATTTGAATTAAAAAAGTCCTTCAAAATCATTTGGGATGTTCTTTAAAAACTGAAAAAATTCGTTTAAAGTGACTTTCTAACTTTTTTGACTATTTTTTGTCAAAATAAAAAAAAATAATTACATGTATATATAGATTATGCATAATAGTTTCCAAAATATGAATTTAAATTTTCTTACGTCACTAATAATATTTTATGAATATACTAAACTAAATAATTATGTGAGATCCATGGTAAAACTCTAAAAAATCAGAAGAAAAATTCATAAAATTAATTTTTTAAATCAGATTAAATAAGTCTTTTTGCCTCCAAAAAACTACTCTATATGCTGATAACAGACCTTCTTATTGTACTCCAAAGCCCTTAAAAACTAACTATTAAAGTTAGTTTCAAATAGATTCAATGACCGAAACCAATCAAAAATGCATGGTCAAAACGTTAAGTTTTGTTAGAAAAAAGCCATGGAGGAACCCCCAGTTCAACTTAGTCGTGTCGTGAACCTGACGGTCTACAATCTAATTCTTCAAATTCAAAGGAGACATCAAATTCAAAGGAAACAATGACATGGCCTATTGTCTCTATCGTTTGTTCCCAAATTGTACTTCAAGCAATAGTTCCCCCATACCCTCTATATATACACTCCTCTTGCTCCATGTTTCTGCATCAGCAATTTACATATCCACTAAATCCATTAACTCTCTCTCTCTCTACAAAATGTTGGGTTCCTTGGAATCTTGCATCTATGAAAATTTCATGGATGGAAGACTAAAAGCTAGGAAACCAAAGGCACCTGGTTATGTATATAGAGATGAGTTGGATAGGAAGGCTTCACCAAGCAAGCTAAAGAGAAGTGATGACGTTGACCCACAACCATTGCTTCAAAAAGAAGTTGAGAAGCATTCTGAGAGAAAAAGCAGTAGCAGTGGTTGTGTTGAGGGGAAAGGTGGGCTTAGAGTTAAAATTGTGATGACAAAGGCAGGCGCGGCTCGCCTACTGGCAAAGTCTAAGGATGGAGGGTTTCTCGAATTCAAGGACGTAGTTCAAGAGCTGGTAGAAATCCCTATGAATCGTGTTAGTGTTATTGTCCCAAAAACTAATAGTGATCGCGTACTTGAGAGTATCCCCGAAGAACTATAGATGAGAACTCCTAATTATTTGTATCATTATTAACCAAATCCGATTTTATTAATGTACTTTCACTGTGATTGTGTAGAAAATTAGTAAGGAAATTGAAGATGTTATGATTTCCTTGAAATGCGGAAACAGTCTCTGTGGTGGTTAAAGATAGGAAGGGTATGTACTTGTAGACTACTAATATGAGATAAGAAAGACGATAACTGTGAGACTCCACTGAAATCTACCACTTTTCTGTGTGAGTAGTGAAATTCTACATACTAAAACGAATATGGAATTTTATGTCCAGTTTGTCCATCAATCCAAACACAATAACTGGTATACAAAACAGGCATACATTGATCTTATGGGATTCAATCAAAAAAGATATTCCTAGGATGCTAGGAACACTACTTTCTATCATTTGTGCCCAGAAATTGAATTTGACAAGAACATATCAAGCAACTTCATACCACATAGTCCTACTTTGAGGCAAAAAAGGAAAACTGATGGGGCAACTGACAACCCCAAATGGGCAAACAAAGTTGACCTGATGCATCAACCACAGAGTTCTGTTCTAATTCTAACTTTTGAACTGAAATCTGAAGAGGTTAGCTGGCCACTGCCCAAGCTGTTCGACCTTAATGTCGCGGATTCGAATCTCGTGTCTCCCTCCCCTCTGTAATATCCTAACAAATAAAAACTGAAATATGAAAGCCCCAAAGAGCTTTAACCGAAGCCATTATGACGCGAAAAGTGCAGGGTATGAATAGAAACAAAAAAAGAAAGTGGAAAAAAAAGTGAGATTTTCCCTTGGGCCCTGTTTTGATGATAGTGATCGGGAATGGACATCTCATTCCTAGAAAAGGGATGCCTCGTTTCAGATATTGAGGAGATCAAAATCCTACCCGTGGCGCTAGGTCTTGGAATTCTGTTGCCTGTGGTGATGTCTTACCTTCTTATCGAAACACGTAATCCATGTATTTGAGAATGAAAATCATTCTGATTCAAGATCACTGTTATTCAAACGAGACCTTAATTCTTTCTGATTCAGCAGTAAATATCTGGTTTTGCTTGTCTAAGCCTTTACCTCTGTAAAATGATTTCTTATAATTGAGATTAACGCATATAAGAAAAAAATGGGTCAAGCACTTCAAAGTCGCAGTCCAGTGTTTGAATGTAAAAAGAACAGAAATTCATCAATCTCCCTCTTTCCGCCTTCTCTTAGGACTGGACTAACATGTGGGCTTTATGCATTAAAAGGTGTCAACCTTGGGCCTTTGGAGCTGGAACTAAAGGTAGGAAATTGACCAAGGTTCACTAGCACGCGCGTGCGTGTGTGTGCGCACGCGCATGTATCGTAATAGATTTTGTATATGGGATGAGAAAGCTAACGGAACAAAATAATCAACAATGAATCAAAATCTCCGCTTCGAAAAAGAAGAAATTAAGTTACAAAAAAAAGATTTTGAAAGAAAGCAATATCAACGGAGAGGAGAAAGGTGAAATTAAAGGGAAAACAATCATATGATTACCGCAATTCCATCCGTTCTAATTGTACATAATAAAGCAAGTATAAAATTAAGTGAATTTGTGTTCTTTTAACTCAGCCAGCCTGCCACATGGTAACTGGAAATTCAGTGTGCACCATAAACTTTAAAAGAAACAGAGTCCACTATACCTCAAGTTTATCAAGAGAGACAATTTTATTGGAGTGCTTACACTTATAAATACTTAGCTATTGCCTATTTTACATGATATTCACCTAAAATCTGTGGTATATTTAGTAAAATTTTAAGGTTTTATCATATGAAGTGAAAAACTATAAATCGTCAAAGGAAATTTAGCCGAGAACGATAAGGGCACAAGGAAACCAAAATCAGAATGATTAGCCCCCGTCTGTCCCAAAGGCATTACAATCCTGTTAGGAATTTAACGCGAGCTGTCTGATCAATCAACTAGTTTTGGTGAACAAATTGATGGTTGATTGGAAAGGGCTATTCATTGCTAAATTTAGTGGAGAAAGCATGCCTTCTTGGCTTGGAACCGGTGCATTCTTGGATTGAAACCCATCATACACGTATAATTGTAAAAAATTGGTAAAGATGTATTACAGGAACGGGGTGGAAGCTGAGGAAAGGACTTACATATCGGATACATGAATTGGGATCTATGTCGTGTGCAAATTTTCTAACGGAAAAGTCTCCATTATTCAAAGGATTGATTATCATTACCTTTTTAGTAACAAAGATTTGGTAAGAGTGCCGGGATGATGATTAGTACAAAAGTCAATAAAGATCCAAAAAAAGAAGAAATGACAAGAAAAATTTGATATCCATGGAGGACATAACGATGTGGGTCATGTATTCAACCATATGTCTCTTCAGTATCCCAAAATAACAACTTCTTACCAAATTATTTGCCCACATAAGCTTCTGTGTGCACACTTCTTCCTTCATCAGTGGAAAGAAATAGAACTAAACCTATTTAACATGGAAAAGGAAAATTTGCACACAAAATTAGGGTCATACATTAACTACATCAGATCTCGGGTTCACTGGGTACGCCATTTTTACAATAATTACATCAGAAAAAAACTGGAAAGAAAGGAAAAAGATTGTATTTGAACAACCACTACCCATCATTTCATCTCAGCCGACACCAAGGCTCTAAAGCTAAGGCGAAACATAATTACAAAAATGGATCAAAAAACCCAGTGGAACAGAAGAAGAAGATGAAGAGGGAAAAGGGCAAAAGAGGACAGACAATGGAAGGATTCATGGGTCATGATCTGTCCATCTCAAGCACTTCAGGACTTTCCATTATACTCTCTAAAGAAGGTTTCCACCCACTAACTTTACTTCTGCTTCTCTCTATCTCTTCCAACACATCTTCTAACCTTTTACCTCCTTTTTCTTTCAGTTGGAGTAATAGCCACCCCAACTCCTCCTTTGTCAACACTATTTTAATCCTCGTACCACTTGTCTGAAACCCATTTTCCTTTTCAAATTCAGCTGTTTTGTCTTCGTCTTCTTCTTCTTCTTCTTCATTCTGTTGCTTCTGGTTCTCTACTTGCTGGCTGTTTTTGCATGTCTCAATGCAATTACCCATGACTTCCGATCGCCGGAAAAGCGCCCTTCTCCGGGGAGATTAAATGGCTCTGAGAGTGCGATGTGGTGGTGTTCTCTAATAGAGCAGCCTAATAATTTAAGTAGTTGTTAGAGGTTTTCTCCAACTGCTGCGCATGTGATGGTGGGGTTATTTATAGCTGCTCACCTAATACCCAGAAACAGGAAAAGAGTAGGGTTAATTTCAAAAGTAGTCCTTAATGTATGAGTTCTTAATAATTTTAGTCACTAATGTTTCAATCGCTTTATTTTTGCTCCCAAAACCTTTTAATTTGAGTTTGTTTAGTAAGTAGTCCCCAAGTTTAATCCCTTCCAAATTCGTAAAGGGCATGAGGCTCACCTGACCCTAAACGAAGGGCAATTAGCGGAGTCATGTAAATAGCAACTATAGCATACGGTATAATTTTGTTGCAAATTTAGATCAAAATAAACGTAAAAATTGCATATATTAAAACTCATTAATATTTTAGAAGTTAAATTAAAGCAACTGAAATAATGGGACTAAAATAATTGAAAATGGATTTATATTTAAACTATTACTTTAATTTGTGACGTGTCAATCTACGTCATGATAAGAATATGTGACATCATGCTCAAGTCATTAAAAATGTGTTGTTTTCTTACAAAGAGGCTTGAGAGCAACTCTAAAACAATTGTCATTTCGAGATCTCAAATCATTTATTTATAATTTTGAATAATATTTTAATATTTTTAAATTATAAATCTATTTTAATAGTAGATGTGTGTCATTTTAATATTTTAATATTTGTTATTAAAAAATATAATTAAATTTAACGGTTATATATTAACGGATATAATGTTTACAACGATCACAATTTAACAGATATATTTTTATAGTAAAAATTTTAAAAATATTTATTTTAAATTAAAATAAATATATATACAGAGGCACAGAGAATTCCAGCAATTTGATTGCACCTCCTCCTCCTTCTGTGCTTGCGCCTCCTCCTCCTTCCCCTTCCCTCTGCGCTTCCTCTTTTTTTCCTTTTTCCTATGTGCCTGCGCCTCCTCCTCTTTCGCTTTGCGCCTTCTTTCCCTTTTCCTTTCCCTTTCCCTTTCTCTCTCTCTCTCGCACTAATACTGTTCTCTTTACAACCTCTCATTCACTCTCTCCAGAATTTGAAAAATTATTACCTCAAGAACATTATTGTCGTTTTTCAACCCGTAATGTCTCCTTCGTTTGAGGAAAAAATTTTAAATTTAAAGTGACATTTTGATAGTTACATGCAATTATGAAATTGTCACCCCTGATACCACTCTTCCTCGGAGTTGCTCTAAAATAACAAGTGCACCAGTTAAGTACATATTGATTATAGTTCTTCCAACAAATTTCCATTATTATAAAATCTACGTACACAATGTTACATGTATACTGTGCTATCCGATATATATTAATACGTATCCATGTGGATATGTCAGCATGGTATTTCATGGAGAGAGGCAACTGCTATACCATACTCTGATTTTTCAACTTTGACAATTTCTATGATGTAGTTCATTGCAAAAGAACAAAGAAAAGTATCATTAGAAATCTATCACGTTGATTTCTTACTCCGCGAGGTGTCTTTGAAGACCAAAAAGTCAGTGGGAAGAACAACAAAATTAGTAGGTAAAAGAATAGGTCTCCATCTCCTGCGTACAAAAATATATAATGTTTTTATATGATTGGTCCTACTCAAAGAGGCATGGACTGAATGGCTTTAAGAACCAACAAAATTGGGAAAGTCAGAAAAAAAAAAAAAAAAAAAATTGGTACCGTTTCATCGTCTATTACTTTTATAATAAAGTTATACTTTTAAAAACAGAAATTATAATTGTTCAAGATAAAATCTTGATCGATCACATACACTCATAGTTGGTCATGAACTTCTCTCGAGTAATTATAACTTCTTCCTTGTCAGTTGTAAATTGATCTTTAAAAATTGTAAATTCAGTATTGACCACAACTTTTCATAATCGATCATGTCATTTACAAATTATAACTTACACCTTAACGTTATTTCACTAATGAAATACGCACACACACATCAGGTTTTGTTATACATATCTTAAGCAGTTTTGTACAACCCACCCAACTTGATGCTACGATATCCTTCTAACAATTTTAACAAGAGACAAAAAGTATGATTCACAAAAATTTTTGCAACGTAGAGCTCCACCGCAACAACCCCTTTTTTTGTGGGGGAATCAAGTTCCTTACCAACCATAAACCCCAATTTTTTCTCATTTGTTTTGTGTATTACCAAGTATAGTATAGGGTAATCTAGTCTTCTTCAATCATATTAAAATAGAACACCCAACTATGACCATGCAGAATAGTAAAATAACATAGGAGGAAATTTCCAACCCAATTACGACCATGCAGAATAGTAAAATAACATAGGAGGAAATTTCCAAATTCTTGTGGTGTGCTTAACCTACCAAGTTGCACAACATATTATTAACTTAATATTAAACTAGTAACCGACATTAACATTTTGATTATATTCAGTCACACTGTATTGTAAAATAAACTTGAGTGAAATTAAAATTAAACCGAACCCAAAAGCAGTCCTCTTATAACAAATAAAAGGCTCATTTTGATGACACAACACAGGCACGGGCACGGGCACGGACACGAGAATAAATAGAGTGATGTCTCTATTACTACTACCACCAAGGTCCTACCTATTTATTGACAATTGCGTGATATCGAGGACTAATTAGTGGAAGAATTAAATGAATTCTAAGTCCGTAACTATGTTAAACTACTATAAGAAACACCGACAAAGCATTATGATTTGAATATCCCCATTTGTATTTTTAAATTTTGATTCTTTTATTTTTTTTGTTCTCTAAGTGCTTGTGGATGGAAATCCATATTTGATTCTCACTCTCATAATGGAGGGACCTCTTAAGCCAAATGAAAATCTTTTACTCCTATAATTGAAGATTTACTGAAATATCTTGTGCCCTCTTCCCTATTAAAATATGATGTGGGGGGTGCAGTATTAGACATTGAGTAGCCATAAGTGCTCTTCTATGTGACATATTATTGGTTCGAGATCAAAAATCAATTTTTGTAAAATAGAGCGATACTATCTATCACGTGTCTCTCACAGTCTGTTACGGGCAAAAATCTTGTACATTTGGCATAGCCTTTAAAAATATATCAATTACGATCGTTCCTAACACGACAACTTTTTCATATTTAAATGGATACTCTATTAACCTAATATCTTTAGGCAACTGAAGTATTGCTGATTGGTTCTTCTGGGGTGGGTTTTTTCTAGAATGATCCTGTAATAATAGCTTTCACGTGAAAGGTGGCACCCTTTACCTTTATCTTTCTAAGTATATGAAGTTATTTAAACCTAGTGAACTTTTCTTTTAGAATTTCAGTTTGACAAACTGCCATGCCTGAAGTTTAGTCAAGCATTTAACAGCGCCTATCACTCTCAAAGCAACAAAATAAACTGGGAAACTCTAATCATCACAATTTGCTATAAAGTCATACTTGCAATTGGAGCCAGACATTTAGTAAAACTACTCGTTAAGTAAATGAGAAATCTGGTTCAAGATGCATTTGATACTCCAAAGTTACTCATTGCCCCTGCTAATTTAACATAGAATTGAAGTATGACACATCAATCAAATCCAAAAATAAAATTGAAACCATTATGGTGATGAATAATATGTGAAAGGCTAGGCCCAATAGGTGCCCCCTCCCCCTCCCCAAGTAAAAAATAGTGCGGGTTCAAGCTCTAGCATGAGATAATTACATGATTATTTGAGCGCTTTGTAAAATTATCTTGTACGGACTTCGACAAAAATGCCTATAATCTAAAAAAACTAAGTCGGTTGTAACTTTATAAATAAAAAAACTTACACGGGAATTCTCACAAATTCAAATAATTTGAATATACGCAAAGTAATGCTGCAGTCCAATTGTATATATATAGGATGATTCTTGAACCTGGAGATCTTTGCCTAACCAACCTTTGAACAACCAAGGTAAGTATTTCTTCTCATAGTCTCATTTGCCTCCCACATAGTCAACACCTCCTTTGTCACGAGGTATGAGCGTTCACATGCAAAGAATGGTGTAGTTTGAATAACTGTAGAGGATTGTTAAAACCGTGATGGCACTAGTCCGTACTGTCTCTTTTACTACATTTTCTTTCCTACCAACAAACACTACAGTGAAAATTTATGACTAAAACTTCGCCTAACAAAATTTTCAACATTTCCCAATTAGATTCTCTATGAAAGCGTGATTAGGCCATTAGGGTATATATATATATATATATAAATACCAAACCATGCACATCAAGTAAAAAAGACAAGGTCTCCTTAAAATCACACACAAACATGCATACATGCATGTCTTGATAAGAGTAATTCCACGCAAATCAAGTGCATATCATCTTTTGGATGAATCAATTTTTTTAGTAACACTCGCTCATCTAATACTCATCCAAAGATAATATGTATTTGAATTATAAGTTTTTAAATTCCATTTAGATTGTGTAGCTTTTTTCCTTGCGATAATACTCATTGCAAAGCTTCAAAGTGGGATAACTACTTTTAATTGTAGTTGTATAAATAAAAACAAAAACAAAAATTGTAATACCGAATTAGGTACTGTATCCAAAAATTGTAAAAGTTATAACCCAAACAGAGTTACAATCCAGAGGAGTTAAAAAAAAAAAATTGATTCCAAATTTTTAAGATTTATCTTTAAAGACTAATAATATTATAACTTGATTCATTTAAGTCCAAAGTCACTTTCCTCCTAAGAACTGTTGCATTAGTTACGTAATGATGACAAAAATATTACGCAGTATGCAAAGGAAGATTATCCATGAGAAAAAAAAACACACAAACATAAACTTTATATTCGATCGGATGGTTGAGAGTAATCTATCTGTCTTTGTGAATTAGGACAAAACACTAGTCAAGCCAATCGATTTTTTTATTTACGTTACAATAAATTAAATTTGTTTAGTTTCTGAGAACATATCTTTTGGCTTCACTAAAACGATTCTTAATTAAAGTATGAAGGACAATTTCGCTTTCACAGATCGCTGGACAGTGATGTGATGTGATATGTTTTGTCGACAGTCTCCGTAATTTTAGGTGGAAGGAAGGGGGATTTAGTTTTAAATTCTGCAGTGGGGACTTCTTTTTTTGACCGTTTGGGTGATTGGAACACAATCTTCTGCATAGTTCGGGAACATGAACAGCCTAATCTTGTCTTCACTCTTTAAATGAGTGTTGAAGAAGAAACGCAATATATATTGTGTTGGGAAGATAGATTTCCGGTCAATTCATCTAGATTGGCGTTGTAGGACTTGTATTTTGATGGATCAAACCGCAAGCCATGGCCTCGCAAAGATGCAGAAATTGGGCAGACTGTCGTAGCTGCTTGTCTTTTAAACTTTAACGCAAAATTCAATCTCATCTCATTTAGAATTTTTTAATTTCAAATCATTTAAAACTCAAACTGAATCCGAATAACTCGATTATTTTATATATAAACACAAACCGAATTTTACAAGCTTATGTTAGATCTAAAAAATCATTTAAATTCAACTTATTTAAAAAAAAAACTAAACCCAAAACCAGCTACTCTCTCGATTATCAGCCCTACATCTAAAAATTTACTAGGATGCCTCCTTTAATCCATGTAACGACACAAGTTGTTGCGAGCATCAGAGCAACAACCCTACAGCATAAATTATATGTTTGTAACCTCTCCCAATTATTTTTTCCTCCTCGGGTGAATCCACATGAAAGGGATCTCTTTGAATTTCTCAAAAAGTTCAACCATGACCTAACACATTATTAAACAGATTCAAAATGAATTCATATCGAATTACACAAACCATTCTTGACCCGCCAACAACCCACCCAGACACAATAGTTGAGATTTGCATCCAGAATATTCCAAGAAAAATACTCGAATATCTCAAACTAAGAAAAGACTACAAGGGAAGAGCACCGCGGGACCAGACGTGCTCTGTAGCAGCCATACCAGTAGTTATATAAGCAACAATAATTTGCTTTTTCTTTTTATGTCCAGCTATGTGGGAGAAAAGATTTGAACCCAAATGATGCATTGTAAATGGGGATCTACAAGCAACTTCACATGATCCAGTGCAAAAATGAAGAAAAGACCAGGGAATTGCAATTTTGCAACTGTCACACAAACAGGTCAAAATTGCCTCATTATAGAACAGGACTGCTTCAGTATTCAGGAAGATTCAGACCCATCTCCATGGACATGAAACAAAAACATCAAACTGATCACAAGGTTACGTAGGGCTCACTAAATATCGCACAGCCAGCAGCATAATCATAAAGGTACCAGAAGTTTCTTAGTCAATAGTTACATATGTCTAGAAGTTAAAATGGTCCATACTTGTAAGGAGTCTTAAGTTAATTCCTTCTCATACAGAAAACAGTCAACTACGTATATGAACTGGATATTTCTGAACTTCGAGCAGCTTCAAAATTACTACGGGAAAGTACACTCAGCAAGTGCAAAATAACTGCTACAGACATTCAGAAAAATACTTAAGGCGTGCGTCGCCGTTTCTTGGCAAGATTCTCGAAAACCTGGTGGACATCATCTGATGTGATTGGCTTTGATGAGTCAAAGGATTCCTGCCAACGACATGGAAGGATCAGTTCAACAAACACCATCAATGAATTGTACTGAATGAAAAGAATATATAATTCCATGTCTTCCCTCGGTACTGCAAAACACTAGTCAAGCCATTTAACTTTTGAACATACCAGGAAAGAATGAATCTCATTTTTCATGTCAGCAATGCCACTCAAAATCTCCATTTTCTGTACATGACCAAGATTATTGAGAAGAGTTAACTCGACACCTTCTTGTTGCTGCAACTTTTCATCCCTCTTTTGCTTTGCCATTTTCTCATACTCTACAATTGAGTCCTCCTTGTCGAGCAAGAAACCAATTCCCTTGTGTTTGTAGAATTCTGCACATTTTTCACATGTGCACAGCAGGTCTCTCCAGTTTTTAGAAAGAAACATTGGTTTACTTTTGTCTAGGTTACACGGAGCAGCAACCAGATCAACTCCAATAACACATTCTGTGCTTGGACCAGTACCTTGTATGCATTGATTTGAATCGGCATTCTTGTCAGAATTTTCTCCAACAGCAGACACATTTTCAAAATTAGCACTTGCAGTAGAGTCTACTTTGGGAGAGTCAGAAGAGCAACTTCCATTCTCAAGTTTCCGAGAGGTTCCACAGGCTGAAGGTGCAATTTCCACCACGTCTTTGTCTTTTGTCACATTTACAGCATTGTGCTTCTTAACTGCTACCCAAATGGACATAGGATAAAGAATCAAGAAAGAACAAAACTCCTGCACACACCTGGCAGATAAAATCCTCATACAGAGGCTCCCCTTCATCATCTCTTGGAACCTGTCACACAAGTTATATGATGGTGATAGATCTTAATTATCTGCAATGTCAATACCCTAAAAAACAAAGATGGGAACTATCATTCTCAGAAGTATATAGATCGTGAT